ATCGGAGACGATACCCGATATGAATATCGGATCGGCGCATATATTCTGCTATACATCTTGACAATAATTAGTAGGCTTCTTCACACTGAAAATTTTCTCTTCGTTTATGCAACTTCATGGCATCCCAGATGTATATGACTTTAGATAAACACAAAACAAGATTTTTTTTAAATTACCCATCCCCGTGAGTCCATATAATGCAATTGGATAGTAACCCATAAGTTGACAGTTCAACCCATATGACAATATATACTAATAAAATATTGGAAAAATACTTTAAATCTTAAAATTATTAAACATTGTTTACAGCCACCTGTCATACACATTCATGAGAGCATTGTGAAGTGTTATGTTTATGTCAAACGGGTTTTTTTTATTTTATATTTACGCGCTTGTGAACTGCGTTTTTTTCGACTTTGCATTTAAATAATTTCTGTGAGTTTTATTTCTCTCCGAATTGGCTCTGTGTGTGTGCGTGCCCATGAGTTCATGCACTGAGATGAGAAAACACCTCCCCACTTATAATAAGCATTTGAAAAACAGCACATGCCAAACATCTTCCCTTGTAATGACTTGCAATGAGAAGCATTTCTAAACCTGCTGTCCAACAAAAGAGAACATTATGACATGAATTTACTCCACAACAGTCGCGTGTTTAATAACTTCCTTTTCTGATCTGATGTGGCTTATCACAGAATGAGGCAGAAAATATATTCTATACTGTAACAAAGTTATGTTGATTATAGCAATGGATTATAAATATACTTATTTAATATGAAAATACCCGAGATGGCTTAAAGAACATTTCTATCTTCTTTTTATTCAGCTACAGCGATAGCAATGTCTTTGTCCATATTAGGGATTTCCTGGAACATCATGAGTTCTATTACTTATGGGATGCATATGTGGAGTTTCTGTCCAGTATGAATGAAACATACATTACATGTGTTTATAGCGCTCAATAATGGCCATCCAATTCTATTCCAGGTAAAAATAATACTTCCCTCAAAAGAAATTTGAAGTAGATATATGATAATCCAGTGTACAGGAATTTATTTATTTTTGTTAATTTGGGGGAAAAAAAGAAAAAAGGCAAATGTGCCAAGCCATCAGAACCGAACCGAACACCGTGGTCCGAGGTATGCATTGAACCGTGGGCTTACTGTATTGTTGCATCCCTATTTTGATGTGTCAACCTTTGGATTACTATCCACTTGCATTATATAGACTCAGAAATGGATTCAATAACACTTTATTTTATAGTTCTTGTCACACATTACACATACTTACTTTTGTAATAACAAGAAATTATGCATATTTACATGCAATAACCCTAAACCAAACCCTAATCCTGTAGTAAGTAGGCTAACATGTTGTTAATTACTCAGTATGTAAACATACAATTATACTGTCACAGCGACACTGTAAAATAGTGTAACCATGGATTGTTTTCTAAAAATCTTAATTTGCGTTCCTCTTATTAAATGGATATAACAATAACTATCATGTTTAATCATCTTTTTAATTCTTTGAGAATACACCACAGCTATAACGATGATGACACAAGGTGCTAAAAACAGTAATTTGGAATTTTAGTTGGAATCAATTTCAGATTTTTTTTTCCAGATGATGAATGATGAAATATTAAAAAACAAAAAAATCGAAAAAGGAGCCGTTTTCTCATTTTTCTACCTTCAATATTAAATAAAAAAACGAATGATCGAATGATACACGGATTGTATTGGACAACACAGCTAAATTTGACTGTCCTACCTGTGTTAATCCACTTTAATTGCTTTGATATTATAACAGGATCATGATTTCAACCAATTAACCGAAGGCACATTGAGTATAGTGTTGTCTTGTGAGGTTGCTTATTTGGATACGGAACCTACATATGTTAATAAATGCTACGGTCGCTGGCGTAAATAGGGAAACAATTACCGTCAAAGTGGAATCAACAGTTAAACAAAGTGGGTTATCTAATGATAGCAATTAGTTAAACACTGAGACTACGCAATGCCAATGCCCCCCAACTTTTTCACATTTGTGGGGCCACCGACTCCTGACAAGCTCAGCACTAATGAGACAACACTATTGACGCTGAACTGACTGCAAGCTCTCTCTTTCCACTGCTAATCTTATGCAAACAAGCAGTCACATGGATCCAACCTGGAAATGAAAAGACCACCCGCGGACCCCACCGCATACAAAGGGGCTACAAGATGAGTCGGCCCTCAGGGAAATTAGTGGGAATGTAGACTGGGAATGTGTAGGAGACAATTACACTGTCACTCATTTACCGTATCTAGACCTGAAGTGTTTTCTGGTGGGGTGTTCAGTATTGTCTGTTTGATTTGGATTTGATTTGCAAGTATGGTTCAGTTGGAAACAAGTACAGAAATGGCCATATTTGTCCTGGCTGGAATGAAATGAGGACAAAAGGAAGACATGGTCAGTCATAGTGATGACATAATTTCCTGACTGATGAAGCCAGTCATGATAAAATACTGGCTAAAATGATAAGTCTGACACCACAGTTGACGGGAAAACACTGTCTTGTAAAGTCAGCAGAAGAGTGGGGGTTCAATCTTCAACTGGCTGGCAGGAGCTGCCACTGACAGGTCATGTGACCTGCCAGTGGCTGGAGAAAGCATTAGCCTGCTGATAAAAACAAAAAACAACTTTAACCAGCCTAAGATGGTTTGCTAGTCTTCGGTGGTTTATGCTGGTCTCTCAGCCAAGCCAAATAGGTGTTTAGCTGGATTCAGGCTGAAAAATGTCCCAGAACCCTTTAAAACCATCTAACAGACCAGTTTGACCAGGCTGGGAGACCTTCGAAACATCTTGGGCTAGATTAAGATGTTCTGATGACATAATTTCCTGACTGATGAAGCCAGTCATGATAAAATACTGGCTAAAATGATACGTCTGACACCACAGTTGACGGGAAAACACTGTCTTGTAAAGTCAGCAGAAAGCATTAGCCTGCTGATAAAAACAAAAAACAACTTTAACCAGCCTAAGATGGTTTGCTAGTCTTCGGTGGTTTATGCTGGTCTCTCAGCCAAGCCAAATAGGTGTTTAGCTGGATTCAGGCTGAAAAATGTCCCACAACCCTTCAAAACCATCTAACAGACCAGTTTGGCCAGGCTGGGAGACCTTCGAAACATCTTGGGCTAGATTAAGATGTTTTGTTTTTAAACTGTATATTGTCTAGTGTCTTCATAGTCATAACGGGTTTTAAAAGAACAAATAACTAGTCTTTTTAAATAAAAAAACGAAAATTACGCGGATATGATTCACTGTATTCATGAAATGATGAGGTGTAGCGCATTTACTATTGGGAACTCACAGCTGTTAGGTGACAGAACAAACAAGGGTGAAAATAAAAAAACTGCTTGTACAGTACACTTGAAACTGATAGATACGTATCAACAAATACAACAATCACATACGTTTAAAGAACGGGACTTTTATTATTCAACTTTTTCTAAAGCATACTCAGAAAATAATTTTAAATGGGAGAAACGGAGTGCTTCACGAATCATAATAAGACGATGTTTCTACACGCCGTACAGTCAACGCATCACTCACCTGAGACAAACAGCACGGTTCACACATGCCGACAGCGAGAAATCCGACTTTACACACACTGAGCCGGTTCAAATGTTCAGCTCGTGAGATTCGAAACAAACGCGACCGTGGCTCGTGGGTTCTGCACTGCACGCGCACCTCCGCTCACAATGGACTGTGATGATGTGTGTGGAGGCATCCGGGCTGCGTGCGGAAATCTGTGAAATGGTGGCCTACATAAATCCGAAATCACAGGGCCGTGTTTGGTTACAGCGCTGCTTTGTTGTTTAATTACACTCAATATTGATCTTGCAATCCAAATCACATGAAAACATCCTCGCATATCACTTCCGCGGTCGTCATAATGTGAGGGTTTCGCATGCCCTCGACCGCAATGACAATGAAAAACATATTTAGAGCTCGATTATAATCCAACCGGGCTACATCTTAGTAGGGAACAGGAACAAGTTTATATCATGCATTTGTTATTCCAATTCGGATATCGTTGCTTTAAATTATGCCAAAAATGTGGTTTCACTTGTTTTGTTTACATGTTGTATACTGACTGATGGGTGGGGGGTTTTGGTTGGATTTGTTCTAAGGTTGGCTGGCATTGACAGCAAAGGAATGCCTTTCCTTCACTGTGTTTGGCACCATCTGTAAATTATGCAAGTTGCAGAGAACATCTGTTTTCAACTGTAAGTGACTGGGTTGAACTACCTGTGCGTCGAGACAGAAAGTATTTATGTAATACTAATGGGTTTTAAATGGTCTTTGGTTACTGAAATTATGTCTGTAAATATTACACTATCAACATATCACAACGTGTTGGTGAAGTGCAGCCTGTGCACAAACAAACTCAGCCAGGGCTGAGACAACAGCACCTCTCTCAGGGCTACAGATGCAGCTTCAAACTAATCAAACTGACATAAATGGGGGTGATGTGCATCATTAAAACAGACACGACAGGCAAAACTACATTTTTCTATAATTTAATTTCCGGAAGTACATAAAAAAAATAACTGCAAAAATAATTAAACTGACACATAAATATGTTAATTTCGTAACTCTGTTAAATGCACTGTTGAACATCACATTCGCCATTCATGCAGGACCACAGCAGCACTAGTGGAAGAAAACAGCATCCAAAACACTCAGAACACCAGTTTCTTTTTAAGGGAACCTGAGAAATTGAATAGGAAAAAAAACAAAAAAACATTTAGATTTCAAACTTCTATACCATTTCCATTATCCTTATCTATTATATACTGGTGTAATTAAACCGGCAACTTTCATTAATTTCACAAAAACGCCCCTGAAAATGTTAAAGAGCCCCTGAGGGGGAAAAAATGAATTTTTAACATTGTTTACATGTGTATCTGTTGTTTTAATATGCTTCAAGACAAACCATGTGCAAATTCTTCAGTCAACACCATTACTGTGCATTATTTAAAGCTATCGGTTACATTTATCTCGTATTTTTGCATGTTTTCCTCACCCTGTTCAACACTGTCACGTTTTCTCTTGATTCCAATCAACAGGTTTTCTTTCTCTTTCAGGGCTTCTGTTGAGGAGTTTGGTCTGGGAAGCTGAGGTCCTGGGGTTGGTCCTGGTCTATTGCTGAAATACTTCATCTTCAAAGCCTAGAATGAGCATATCCATTCATTCAGACAGTCTCTAATGTAGATTAGCTTTAAGCATTAAGATTAAGTTGATACAACTGCAACCCAGTTACTGGCACCTGTGAAGCTGTAGTGCGTGTGCAGGGGTTAAAGGTGAATAATCCCTTCAGGAGCTCCAGAAGGTCATCGCCAGCTGCGCTGAAGATGTGCTCCAATGAAGTGCCAGGAAACAGTTTAAATGACACATAATCCGGAAGACTAGACAGCCCCTGAAACAACAAACCGCACAAATCACTGATTCTGCCTCATATACACACATACATTTCTCGAAGCCTCAAAAATGGTACATTATTGACATGTCTATGTAGATGTGTCTCAAGTAATCATTTGATTTCTTATGCAAATGAAGCTGAAGTAAAACTCTCTCAATTACAAGTAAGTATAGTAGATAACTACAACTCACAGGCCATGTCTCCTCTGTTGGGGTTCCCAAAGCTTCAAAGATCTTTGTCAGTTGGTCCAAGTCTGAATCTCCAGCTAAAAATGGCACCTGGCACACAAACAAACAATTCTTAAAATGCATGTTAATGGTTTAATCATTACGTAAACGTGTTTCTGCCACAGGATTAAAACAAATAATAATTCAAATGTAATTGCGACTTTTTAATCTCACAATTCTGTTTTTTTTCACAAAATTGCGAGACATAAACCTGAAATGAAGAAGAAAACCCTGGCCTCACCTTGCCATTAAATTACATAAAACTAGTTAACACTGCTTTGTGAGTTTTTCTAATACAACGGCTGAAGGATTGATGGCAAATATTCTGATATTTTCTTCCCTCTTTTACAAAGTCATACAAACACTATCATATTTTTTTTCTTTTGCGATTTGGGCAAATCGGAACACAAAATAATTGTATTTTGTCGTAGTGTCTGTTCACCACTATAGAAGTTTACCTAACTATGACAGCTTTTGCTTCGGAGAACCCTGGAAATGTGAAAAGGGTCTTCTGGTATTCAAAGGAACCAAATGGTTTTACAAACTCTGGATAAAGTCAGATACTCACTCGGAGTAAAAGCTCAGCAAGAATGCAGCCAACTGCCCACATGTCCACACCCACACCGTACATCCTGGCACCAAAGAGCAGCTCCGGGGCACGATACCATCTGAGAAGTAGAACCACACAACATGAAAAATGAAACAATAGCATAATAAAGAACATCCAAGTACTATTGTAGAGGTCAACTCAGAACTATTAGAGACTTCTACAAACCTTGTAACAACTTGATGAGTATACACTCGGTTCGGGCTTCCAAACGCTTTGGCTAAGCCAAAATCAGCCAGCTTCAAGACTCCATTTTCATCCAGTAGCAAATTATTGGGTTTCAGATCCTAATAAAAGAAACAATAACAAGAACTGGAAGTGGCAGTTTTCATCAGGAATTCTTTTTTGGAAATAAGTTAAGTACTATTCAAAAATTTGAGGTCTGTTAGATTTTTAAAAATGGTTTTGAAAGAAGTCTCTTATGCTCACAGAGGGTGCATTTATTTGATCAAATATACTGTAAAAACAGTAATATTGTGTGAGATATTACAATTTAAAACAACTGTTATATTTAACTTTTTTATAAATGTTTTATTATTACCAGCGTTGAAAACAGTTGTGTTTAGGGTTGCACAATTCCAGGAATTTTCAAGACTGGAAAATTTCCATGGTAATTAACGGGAATATATGGGAATTAACGGGAATAAACTGGGAATTTGTAAAATTGCTGGAATGGGTAACTTAAATGTAGTTGAAAAAAAATATCTTGCAGCATAATCTTGGTTAAAACAACTAGATTTAATGTAATTTCAGTTCACAGAGGGTGCATTTATTTGATCAAATATACTGTAAAAACAGTAATATTGTGTGAGATATTACAATTTAAAACAACTGTTATATTTATATAAACAACTGTTATGTTTTATTATTACCAGCGTTGAAAACAGTTGTGTTTAGGGTTGCACAATTCCGGGAATTTTCAAGACTGGAAAATTTCCATGGTAATTAACGGGAATATATGGGAATTAACGGGAATAAACTGGGAATTTGTAAAATTGCTGGAATGGGTAACTTAAATGTAGTTGAAAAAAAATATCTTGCAGCATAATCTTGGTTAAAACAACTAGATTTAATGTAATTTCAGTTGAATTTCTACCCTGAACATTCCTCAATCACATGCACACAGCACACTTACTGCAGGGCTATTGAGACCTCACACCCTACATGCACGGTGCATTCCTCCATAACATGCAGATCATTTCAAGAATCCTGAACACAGAATGTCCATCTTGGTGAGTATTTATGTAAATTACATAAATTTATGTTTAAAACTTTCTTGTGCTGTGTAAGCTATTGCGCAACAAAATGATACCATTGTAAAATCAAATACATTGACTGAGCAAACATTAAGAGATTTTTAAAAACGGCCTAAAAATGACCCTCCTCAATACACAATCTCCCCATGTCACCTAAGGGGGGAATTCCTCCTCATTTTCCAAGCTTCTATTCAAGTAAGTTTTGATATAGACCAATTTGTGTTTGCAAACAGTGATGACGTTTTTTGTGGGAGGAGCCTATCTGGTGGCAGAAAATGACAGGTTTAAAGTAGCAGTCTATGGAAGCCATAGATTAAAGGTAATTTCGAGTTTATATTTCAAAATTCTGACTTTTTTTCTCACAATTCTGATTTTTAAAAAAATCCACTCGTCATTCTTTTTTTTCCTCCACCCTTCTGGCTTTTTTCCTCAGAATTGACAAACTCACAATTGTGGAGTTATAAAGTCAGAACTAGGTGATTTGCATCTGCATCTGAATTTGCATTTGCAAGAAAAAAAGATCAGAATTGTGAGATAAATAAGTAAATGTTACGTAAAATGTTATAGGTTTAATTGGTATTTCATGCTGTAACTGTAGGGCTCGTACAATTATGTCCCCTATGAACTGCATATGTGAATATTATGTAGACCTATTGTTTAATTCAAATGTATTCTTCAAAAGTAGGGTAATCATAGCAGGTTTCATCCAGTCTGTCCATTTAAATGTCTGCATTTAGCTTCAAACGGCGTCTTTGATGACAGTATTCTATAAAAATAATTTGCATTCCAATTCTGACATCCAAAGGCACAACAATACATTTTTTTCTCTTATTCCATAGATTTTATCCGCTTCCCTCCACTTGTTACCAGTGTTTTTCTGCCACCACAATGCGCGCACAGCTGCAGTTGACGTAACTGTGATGTCTACTCCAAACTGGTCTATTACTTGGGTAAATATATTTGATCTATGGATTTCAAGGTTAACTAGCAAATACCAAAATGTGTTTATACAGCATCTAGCTAGCCAGTAAATCAGATATGAAAAATGTAAGCTAGTTAGCACTATTTCATTGAAAATGTATGAGGCTAGGTATCATGTGCTAGCTATCTCAAGCTGTGATGCTCTTTCTTCTACTAGCTAGTTCTGTCATCAAACAGAAGTACAGCACAGTAATATTGTGAAGTATTACAATTTAAAATAATGGTTTTCTGTTTTAATGTACTTTCAAATTTAATGTATTTCTATGATGCAAAGCTGAATTTATCACCCATTACTCTTCAGTCTTCAGTGTCACATGATCCTCCAGAAATCGTGCTAATGTGCTGATTTATTATCAATTTTTATAACCTGTGATACTTTTTTTCAGGATTCTTTGATTAATAACAATATACAAGAATCGCAGGTTCCAAAAAAAATAAATAAATGTCATTTTTATCATTTGTATTAGTTTGCATGCATGTCCACTTATGACCAAACAAAACGTTTATATTTATGTTTGTATATGATACCATTTGGAAAAATGTCCAATGAATTCCCATAAATTCCTGTTAAGTTTCCAACTTGGAATATTTCCAAAATTCCCCAGGTTAAGTTTCCGAATTTTTTACGTGCAACCCTAGTTGTGTTGCTTAATATTTTTGTGGAAACTGATGCATTTCTCAGGATTCTTTGAGGAATAAAAAGTTCAAAAGAACAGAATTTACTTGAAATAGAAATGTTTTGTAACGTTATAATTGACTTTAATGTCACTTATGATCATTGTAATGCATACTTAATTAATAGAATTTTTTTTTAATTTAATACTTAAATAAAAGTTTTATTTCTTTACAAAAATCTTACTGACCCCAAAATTTTGAAAAAAAAATGTCATTTTTATCATTTGTATTAGTTTGCATGCATGTCCACTTATGACCAAACAAAACGTTTATATTTATGTTTGTATATGATACCATTTGGAAAAATGTCCAATGAATTCCCATAAATTCCTGTTAAGTTTCCAACTTGGAATATTTCCAAAATTCCCCAGGTTAAGTTTCCGAAATTTTTACGTGCAACCCTAGTTGTGTTGCTTAATATTTTTGTGGAAACTGATGCATTTCTCAGGATTCTTTGAGGAATAAAAAGTTCAAAAGAACAGAATTTACTTGAAATAGAAATGTTTTGTAACATTATAATTGACTTTAATGTCACTTATGATCATTGTAATGCATACTTAACTTAATTAATAGAATTTTTTTTTTAATTTAATACTTAAATAAAAGTTTTATTTCTTTACAAAAATCTTACTGACCCCAAAATTTTGAACAGGACTGTATATAATTAAAAACACGGAGCAAATATCTCAATGCCTCACCCTGTGCAGGATCCAGTGATTGTGCATGTATTCCAGACCCTGTAACGTCATTAGGATGTATGCCTTTATATTGGCTGGTGTCAATACAAGACTGGTGTCCTTTATGATCACCTGAAACAGACCATAATACAACTACTTATTTATATTCCTTATTTTAAGAGCAATGGCCAAACAGTTAGGGTGCTAAACAGTGTTTATCCACTAAAAAAATATCCAGTTTAAAACAGTCTAACGTAAGTCATGTCATGTTTCCCCCCTTCTTTGCATTCTTTATCTCACAATGCATATGTAGAAATGGCAAAATGTATATACCAGAATCTGCTGATTCTCAAAATATTTTTTTGTAATAAAGGGCAGTTTATAAATCAGAAACAGTTACTGCTGAGGATAAGTTCTTCCATTTTGTAGATTTATTAAAGTGTTCTGTCATTACTCAGTTCTATTCAGACACACAGACAGACTCAGCACTGTCAGAAACATTAGATATTAGTTCACAATGAATATTCAACCAGCATGTGACTGCATTGTTATTCTTTTATGGATACAATCATATAGATCACACAATTTGTTTTTAATATATATACAGTATATACAGTGGTGTGAAAAAGTGTTGGCCCCCTTTAAGCATGCTTCACTTTGTCAGACAGGTTCTATTTAAGTGATTTCTTGATTCAACAGGTCTGGCAGTAATCAGGCCTAGGTGTGGCTAGTGAAATTTAACTCAGCTTTCTAAAATAATGTGGTTAATCACAGTTCTTTCATGATTGAACAGGAGGGGGCAATTAATTTTTCACATAGGGCCACGTAGGTTTGGACAGCTTTTTTCCCTTAATAAATGAAATCATCATTTAAAAACTGCATTTTGTTTTTACTTGCATTAAATTATGTAATATTTAAATTAGTTTGATGATCTGAAACATTAAAGTGTGACAAACATGCAAAAAAAAAAGAAATCAGGAAGGGGGCCAACACTTTTTCACACCACTGTATATATATATATTTTTTTATATCTTGATCATAGAGTGTGTGTAAGTAGATATGTTTAACAGACAGTGCAAAGGTGTAATTATCACACGGTTGTTCTTTTAAAACATAATCCCACTTATACACTCTTAAAAATAAAGGTGCTTCACGATGCCATAGAAGAACCTTTGTGTCTAAATGGTTCCATAAAGAATCTTTAACATCTGAAGAACCTTTCTGTTTCACAAAAGGTTCTTTGTGGCGAAAGAAGGTTCTTCAGATTATAAAAAGGTAAGAAAGAGATGGTTCTTTAAAGAACCTTTGACTGAATGGTTCTTTGTGGAACCAAAAATGGTTCTTCTATGGCATCGCTTGAAGAACCTTTTGAAGCACCTTTATTTTTAAGAGTGTAGATACCTTTTTGTTTGACTTGTTTACTGTACGCCTTCTATCACCATCTGAAGTTTCCCATCTCAACAGGAAGTGGTTTAGCACAAGCTCTGTTCTTATGAAGACGCCCACTTCCTCTGACTTTGATAAACACATTTGTGGTTTTGTGCACTAACCCCATCAGATAAATTCTTAACTGCTGCTGAACCCAATGTCCCAAAATTACAGAATGACTTCTGGCGGGTTTATAATGAAAATAGCATCCAATATTGTGAAGAAGTGAGTTTTTGATTGGTGAGAAGTAAATCTTATAGTGTTACGCAGTAATGATTTTAAACTATAGCCAGTAATTTGCTTGAGAAACACCAGTGACTCATTTTGTATCAGTTGTATCAGACTGGCCTCATTTGAAATGGGAGATGCAGCGCATTTGTTTGATTTAGTCAGTGTAAAAACAAAAAATTTCGTTGGAATCAAATAAGTTTTTGCGAACATTTATTTACGTTTACACACATTTATTGAAAGCAGCAGTGAACAAAATAATCAGGAGGATCTTGGGCTAACTTAATTTAGGATTTTTATTCCTTGGGCTTAGTTTTTAACACAGTTTAAAGTTGTACTTGTTCTGTTTTAAGCCAGTATGATTTTTTTTTACTTTTTCTTTAAATTAAGTCAATTTCAATTTTATCTTTCTCTTATTCATTTATGTTTTCTATCTTTCTTTTATCCATGTGTGTGTGTGTGTTTTTTTAACTATATTCTATCATTTGCTTGTATGTTTGGCTAGGGTTACAGCACTAAGGGTCTTCTTCTGAATGAACATGATTCTTCAATCTTGATTGTTTTTTTCAATCGGTTTTGTTTGACAGAAAGACTTGTGGGCCCATTGTCAACATAGCGTTACGTTTCAGCGATCATCTTCTCTGTGGAGCATATGATTGTTCATTTCACAACTTCTAGATTTAATAGTGAACAGGCCGAAACTGTGATGTTGAGTAAATAGGAGAACGAGATCATCATCCTCGGTCTGAACAGTCATTCTGAAGAACAGGTGAGCAAAATAATTGTGAAAATGAATTTTTGTAAATTGGTTCATGCCCAAGCTGTCTAAGAAATACGCTTAGAATGATGAAACTCGTAAATAGGTTAAGCATATGTGATTCTCAAAACCATAAAGGAGCTGGTAAATTGCTCACAATCTCATAAAGTTTTAAGTCTTTCAAATATTGGGTTATACTACAACATTTCAGCAATGTAAGCCACAGTCCTGGAAATGTATGCTGCAGCCAAAAAGCCGTTGCTTCTTGAGACTCTGCATGTAACATGTCTGCTCAAGTGCTGCGCCACTTACACTAAAACCACATATTAGTGTGAGAAACAAACAGCACATCAAGACCTCTCACCTATCGGCCTCTTCACAGTTCTGAGGACTGTAACTCAACAATCGCTCTCACTTTCTGTCTTTAAATTATATATTCTTTATAAATGATCCAGGCATGAGACAGGCATATATATATCTAGGTGCACAATATAATATCCATTATCCTTTATTAAACGCAGTAGTCCATGCACATCCCACAAACCTCTAAAGTCTTTACATGTGGTATCTATGGCAACTTTTTTTCCACTAGAAAAATCATTGAACCTCTTTGAATAATCGGCAGTGTCATTGATTTTCAAGGTTGACCAATGAGAACTATTTACTAACACGGTCGAAACACTGATTGGCCATCAAGGGAGCAGCTGCTGACCTCTATATTGAAGAGGTCTCAGAGTGTCATTACATTCTCTCTCAATCAATACACAGCTCAGATAAAAAAACACCCATCCTGTCTAAAGGTCAGACGAGGTGAATAATGTGGGGGATGAGTGATGACAGTTCACTATTAAATATGCTTTCTTTAAATCAAATGTAGTCACTATTTACTACTATTTATGTTTTTTTTTAATGTGAGTTGGCAAGCGTGACCCAAACCATGCCAAACAAAACTATTTCAGTCTGCCAGAGTGATAGTAGTATAGTCACTTTGAGAGAGAAGAATAAAAATGAAAAGGTTGTATGTGAGCTGCTTGATCCATAATAACAGATTTGGACTGCATGATATATAGTGTATCTGCTGACTGACTAAAAAGATTAACAAGCTATAATGTGCTAAATGGATGGGGATTGAAAATCAATTAAGTCTTTGCTTAAACACAAAGAAACCAGCAATGAAAACGTCAAGGACAAATGCAGTTTTATGTGATAGTATAGTAGATGTATAATACTGCCTTAACAGAAAAATGTAGCCTACATAAAAAACAGGACATATTATGCTTGTTAAACAAACAAACAAACAAACATTTTCCCACTACAAATAAATAAATCATACAAATAAGTAAATAAAAATGACTAAATAAATATTTTGCACATACACTTTTGCTCTACAAATAAACAATCATTTTGCACTACAAGTAAACAGATAAAAACAAACAAATATTTTGCGCTACAAGCAAACAGATAAAACGAAATATACATATTTTGAGCAAACAGAAAAAAAATTATAAACTTTTTGCACTACAAATATCTTGCACTACAAGCAAACAGACAAATAAATAAATATACATATTTTGAGCTACAAGCAAACAATTAATAATTAGAAAAAGAATGAATAAATAATAATTAACAAATAAACTTGTGATACACACAAACAAACACATACATACATAAATAATCATTTTGCACTACAAGGAAAAATAGATGAATAGATAAAAAATGTTTTATAAACAAACAAACAAACAAAAACAAACAGACAGACAAACGCGAGTGTTGCGCGCTACAGGTAGAGGGCGCTGGAGAGCAATCAGCAGGGCCAGTCAGACTCAGAGCATTTGCTGAGAGCTGAGCACGCCGATCTTTATCAAAAACTACTGCGGGAGTCCAGCAAGAGTCACATCACACTCGCTCAAGTCCGATCAAACACGTCCAGAAACGGGAACGCCAGAGTCTGCATATCCCTGGATATTTGCTCCGCACGACCGCTCGGCTCCGGTGTGTCATCTGAAGCAGGACTTTGGATATTATTAAGGATCGTAAGAGTAGATCTGTTTTCTCCGCAGTGAGAAGGCTCGATCCACCCCCGAGTCTGATGATTTGAGAGGGAAGCAACGCAGCGCTGTGACTGTACACACCATATTCCTGCTTCAGTCCACATTTCATCTGAATCTGCAGACGCACTCCACTGCTCGAGCGCCAATCGACCGCTCTTCATCTAGGTTTTTCCTTTCTAAAAACAAATCTCACCCGAGATTGCGACTGACGCCATTTTTGCAGCGATAAAAACGCCGCTTGCTTGAGTTTGAAGGATTGTAAAGTGCTTGTCATAATCTAGTGGATGGATTTACTCTCTTCGACTTCAGCAGCAGCAGCCGCAGGAGCTTCAGAAATGGGTGAGTTTATTACCTCTGCACTCCTTTGACCAACATTTCAACATGCCATTTTTATGATATTGCCATTTATAATTTAATTGAACTGAAATGAGTAAACCGATTGGGTTGTTTTGCATTGCATTGCACTTAAAAAAAATGCAGAGCTCCATTTTAACCACAAGAAAAAAAAAAGTGGACTGTCGCCAGTCTGCCTTATTTATACGGAATACGGAATACGGAATGTTTGTTTAATTTGTCCTAAATCTACATCTACATATCCATCATTACTTATGGCAATCATTGACGAGTAACAGTTTCATAGATTACAAAAGGTGAATGTTTATCTAACTCGCCCTGAAGCCCAGCAGC